GAAGCAGGCAGCAGAACCACTGAGCCAAGTCCCTGGCCCAATAAGATGCCTTCTTTGTTTTTTTGTGTTTTTTTTGTGTGTGTGTGTGCCAGGGATTGAACTAATAAGATGCCTTCTTAATGCTTGATCAGGTGGTCTAATGTGAAAAATCATGTCTGTTCACAAGTCATTGGCAACCTTAATTGAGCCTATGTAAAAACTCTAGCCTAAAACCTCAAATCCAGTGGCTTTATGTTAAATAATCAGCAACTCATCCTTTAGCTGTGTTAAAGAAGCAAGACTGTTGGGTGTCGTGGTGCATGCCTGTAAACCCAGCACAAATGGAGTCCAAATTAACACCTGGGCTATATATTAATAGTAAGACCCTGTCTTTTAAAAAAAACCTGTTGGATAACTTAAGTTCATGACAGCATAATTATGTCTTGCTGCTGAGCAGGTTGAACCACGGGTGGTACGTGCACAATTGTCCCATTGACAGCACCAGTGTTCAAGCAGGTGGAAATGTGTTTATCAGTTTTCAACTAAGACGTGATCTACCTGTCCTTGAACCATTGTTCTCTGACCTTGGCTAATTTGCCTCATTCTAGTTTCTTATTTCTATAACCTTGTGGTTCATACCAAACCTGCTGGTTCTCAAAAGATAAGTGGGAGTCTTTGTGGTTATGTGGATTTCTGGGTCCTAGGCCTAACAAAAGCTTTAGTAACCAGGCATAATGGCTGCTCCTTCAAGGCCACCCTGGGCTATAGTGAGTTCAGCGTCAGCCTAAACTATTGAGTGAGTAGGGGGGGAAAAAAAGGAAAAAACCCAAACTCGGAAGATGTAACTAAGTGCAAAAACTGGGTGTGCCAGATGTGATGCATGCCTCTAGTCCCAGCACTGGAGGCTGAAGGAGCTCTGTCTCAACACACTCCCCTGCAAAATTCCACAGTGCTGGAAGAATAGGTGTGGGGGAGGTGCAGGGCAAGGGATTTAATTTAGCTCAGTGGCGCCATGCTTGCCTTACAGGTGCAGGGTCCTGAATTCCATCCCCAGTACTGCAAAAAATAAGAACATTGGGGTGTGAGTAGTGTGGGGAATTGATAAAAGTGTTCACAGCTGCGCATGGTGCATCCCTGCAATCTTAGCACTTTGGCAGACCCTGACGCAAGAGGATGTTCAGGTCAGGCAACGTAGTGGGATCCTATCTCATCCAAAAAGGACTTCGTGTAGTGCAGGGTGGCAGCACTCACCAAAACAAAAAACATTTTAACCCCAGTATGAAATTGGTAAGGTTTACATTTATGAACTATAAGGCACATTTGGAGTTAATTTCAGGTAAAAATAGATTGGTCTGTGTGGTTCTTGTGAAAAGTAATTTATATTTTACATAAACTACCACTTGGTCATCTGGGCATGGTGGTGCACACCTGCAATGCCAGCACTTGAGAAGCTGAGGCAAGAGGATTGCAGGGAGTTCAAGGTGAGTGAATTATGTATGAAGTGAGATGCTGTCTTAACAACACAAATCGCAGTCTGGGTTTCTAGAAAAAGGTGCCAGAACAGCTCTAAAACAGATGACAATTTGTTTAGAAAGCCTGTTAAAATCTTAAGCTAATCATACTCTTTCCTTTGGATTGTTTTTTTAAATTAAATTTTATTAGTACATGTTTGTAGTACATAATGATTACATTCATCATGGGGAGTTGGTACATGTATGTAACATCTTAAAATTTTTATGTCCCCTTTCCCCTTATTTTTTGTTTGTTTGTTTCTGGGGATTGAACTCGGGTCCCTGCCCTTGCAAGGCGGGCCACTGAACCGCTGAGCTAAATCCCCGGCCCCCCCTTATTTATTCTTTATATAATTTATTTTTCAGTGCTAACGGTTGAACCCAAAGCCCTCAAACATGGTCAAGATTTCTGCCATTTAGCTACATCCCTGCCTTTATTGACTTTTTCTTTTAATTGACTTCTTAATTAGGTTTGGTTTTCAGACTGGGTGCTCATATTATGTA